CAGTGCTAGAGGCACCTGTGAAGAGAAGGTGGACAAGAGGCTGAACTGGGCTTGGGAGCCTGGGGTTTCAGTTCTGGGGGCCCCACTGCCTAGTCACATAGCCTGAGGTTTGTCATTGGCCCAACCTCAGTTGCTTTAACCATACCAGGGGATAAAATGAGGTTTATAGAGCCTGAGAGCATGGCTCAATGGCTAATGTACTTGCTGAGTTTGAGTTTCTAACACCCACATAAGAAGCAGGTGTGGTAGTATGTACCTGGAACTCTAGCCCTCGGGAGGCACAGACAGGCAGATCCATGCAGCATACTGGCCAGCCAACCTAGACAAATCAGTCATGGTTGGTGAGAGACCCTGTCTCAGAATGTGTAGTAGAGGGTTGATGACATGACCCACGGTGATGATTCGCAACCTTCCAATGCTGTGGCCTTTAATACAGTTCCTCGTGGTGTGGTGACCCCCAAGCATAAAGTCATTTCTGGTTCTACTTCATAACTGTATGAATCATAATGTAAATATCTGTGTTTTCCAATTGTCTTAGGTGACCCCTGTGAAAGGATCCTTTGATCCCTCCAAAAGGGTTGAGACCCACAGGTTGTGAGCTGCTGACTTAGTGTATACAGTGCTTGCAATGAAAGAAAACCCACCAACCTGAGTCCCACCCTGGAACCACATAAAGGTGGAAGGAGACACTGGCTCCATGAGGTTGCCCTCTGACCTCTGTATGCTCACTGTGGCATGGACACAGCCACGCAGAAATAACCACAGAAATAATGAAAGTTTTAAAGTTGTTTAGGAGACATGCAGCCCTGGATTTAACGCATGCCTTTCACCCTAGCCTTTGGAAGGCTGAGGCAGACAGATCTCTGTGAGCTAGGCCAGGGCTACATAGTGAGACTCTGTCTCAAAAACACAAACAAAACTTTGAGATTGATGAGAGCACTCATGGCCAAGCCTGACCACCAGAGTTCCACCATGGGACCCACATCGTGGAAGGAGAGAACCGTCTCCTACAAATGTCTTCTGAACTCTACAAGTATACAGTGTCTCTCTGGCATTCGTGCATACACACACACACACACACACACACACACACACACACACACACACACAGTAGAGGTCACGGCAGCGACAGGAAACCAATCACCTCTGACTTCCACATGTAGGAACACCCTCATCATGCTCACATACTCCTATGTGCACATGCTCACAGCCATACAAACATGTACATGCACCACACACACACACACATACAAGTGTGTATGAAAAAACAAATGAGGTCCTATAGACAAGGCCTCCTCTGTCCCAACTCCTCCGTTTCTCCTGCAAGCCAGTCACTTTGAAAACCCAGCAGCTTCCTCAATACCTGCTGTCCTGGCTCCTCCTGAGAAAGTACACAGCTCCTGCACGGAATGCCCATTCTCTGGGAGTGTAAATCACTCTCAGAACATGTTCAGACTTGGGTTTGGGGAAATTCCTCTGTTAGCAGCCTTGTGTTGGGGAGGCATCAGGAGGCCAGAGAATGGTGGGGGATTCCCAGGAGCATCTGCTTTGCCCCAGCTGCTTTCCCCATCATTTCTCTGGCTTCTAGTTACCCAGGAAAGGCCAGTAGGGGCCCTGGGCATGGAAGGATAAGACTCCCTTGGTTTTCCTGGCTCCTGGCTCAGTCTAGGAACCAGTTCCTCTCCAGCATGATGGAAGTGTAGCGATGGATGCCCCTGGGCAAGCCACAGAGCCTCTGGGAGCCTCAGCATCCTTAGCACTGAAGAACCACCTTTCCAGGGCCTATAGGCCTGTGCAGTACTCCCTTCAGAGTCCCAAGGTAGGGACTTATTTATTTTTCTCTCTCTCTCTCTCTCTCTCTCTCTCTCTCTCTCTCTCTCTCTCTCTCTCTCTGTGTGTGTGCTTGCTTGTACACACACACACACACACACACACACACACATACAAGTCTTTAATCCCAGCACTTGAGAGGCAGAGGCAGTTGGATCTTTGAGTTTGAGGCCAGCCTAGTCTACAGAGTCAGTTCCAGGACATCTAGGACTACACAGAGAAACCCTGTCTTAAAAAATGTGTTAATACGCTCAGAAGTCAGTGATAGATATCCTTGAATGTGTTTTACAGTGATTTCCCACTCTAGATTCCTGCAGTATACATTTCTTTCATGAATGATATGGCAATATAGAGTTAATTTAGGGAATGGATAGTGTAATACCCTGGCTGTCCTGGAACTCAATTTGTAGACCAGGCTGGCCTCAAAGTCACAGAGATCCACCTGCCTCTGCCTCTGGAGTGCTGGGATTAAAGGCATATGCTACTGTGCCCAGATCTTCCTTCAACTTTAAATTACTTTATTGATTGAAAACAAGGATATGACCATTACTAGGTATAGTTGAGGAAAAGGTTTTATTGCAAATATTAGGGAAAAACATCTAGAGGAATCTGAAAGTCCAGAGTAAACATGACCAACAGAATAGATTAGGCCATGGTGTGTGGTGGTGGGGGGCGGGGAGCCACAGAGTAATAGGCCAAGAGGGAGCCAGGAGACTACGAGGCCTTTTAGCCAAAATGACTGAGTTATATTGTTAATGATTTATTAAAGCCACCGAAGATCAAAAAAGCAAAGCAGCCAAGCCACTAACTCTTAAATCTACCTCAGGCTGAAAGGGCTGATCCTGTCTCCATGAGCTCTCACAAAGCCTCAGACTCCTGCCTCTCCTAAGTGTGCCTGGAGAATAAATACCTTCTCATCCTCAATGTGACTGGAGAATGAATGCCAGCTCTCAGATCCAGTTCCTGTCTTAAATACCTCTTATAAGTCCTGTGATTAAAGGTGTGAGCTCTATTACTCTTTTAGACTTGTGTAGCCTTGGGTGACCTTGAACTCAGAGAGATCCATTTGCCTTTGTCTCCCGAGTCCTGCTATTTTGATCTCCAGTGGCTTTCTTTCTTTCTTTCTTTTTTTAAGATTTATTTATTATGAATACAACATCCTGCCTCCATGTATGCCTGCACACCAGAAGAGGGCACCAGATCTCATTATAGATGGTTGTGAGCCACCATGTGGTTGCTGGGAATTGAACTCAGGACCTCTGGAAGAGCAGTTGGTGCTCTTAACCTCTGAGCCATCTCTCCAGCCCTCCAGTGGCTTTCGTAAATCATAAACAATAGATCACTGCATCTGAAGCGAGGGCAATGGAAGGCCAGCCCTTGGGCTGGAGGATGAGGTCCAGGCAAAGTGTGAAGTGCTGGGGAGCCACAGGTACTGAGTGATGCTGGGAGAGGTGGCCAGCATCCACTTTGATATGTTAATAGGTACCTCAGTCAGCCATCTATCCCAGGTTTCCTTGAGACCTAACACTTATTTATTATTAAAATGGAACAAAAACAATACAGGAAGGGAAAGGCTGGCTAGATGACTCAGCAGGTAAAGATGGAAAGATGCGAGCTTGATCCCTGGGATTCACACGATAGAAGAGAGAACAGACTCCCAAAAGCTGTATGTTCTGATCTCCACAAGCGATGTGGCATGCACACCCCCAAGAATAAATAAATGTAGCTTTACAAAAATCAAGTAAGGAAGAAAGGACAGTTTGGCTGTCCTCATTGCCTTTCTGAGCACTACGTTTCACTTAAAAAAAATCCTATTGTGTGATTCGTGTGTCTGTTTATAGGAAACAGTGTGATATTTTTATACCTATGTATGCTGTATAATGACCACATGGGGTATTTGGTATACCTGCCACCTACTATGTATATCATTTCCGGATCGATTGTGATCATTCCCAGGCACGGGCTTTCACTTCAGTGTTCAGTATTACTAAGCTTGGAAAACAAAGCTGTGCAAGAAGACATAGTGATAAATTAGTCACTTCACAAGTGACATGCACATGCCATGTTTTGTTCATGTCTTTAAAGATATTTTACATTTTATCTCGTGTGTGTGTGTGTGTGTGTGTGTGTGTGTGTGTGTGTGTGTGTGTGGTGGGGTGCATGTGAGCCACTGTGCACTGTGGAAGTCAGGGAATCATTTTGAGGAGTTAATTCTCTCCTACCATGTGGGTCTTGGAGTAGACCTCTGGCCATCAAATTTGGTGACAAGTGACTTTAGCTGCTGAGCCATCTGGCCAGGCTGAAAGAGGAAGTTCTTGGGCCTCTTCTTGCATGCTAGATAAACACTCTCCTATAACCCTAACTCAAAGAGGAAATTATTTAATTTATTTACTTATGGTGTTTGGAGACATGGCTCTTGTATCTTAGGTTCGCCTCCAACTCTCTGTGTAGCTAAGGATGACCTTGATTCACCCTGTAGCCCACCACCCAAGAGCAAGGGTTACAGGTGTGAACCACCACAACTTGTTTTGAGAGAGGAATTTTTAAATCATTGAACTCAAGTATGTATATTTTCTTTTGAAATGTTTCTCCTGATAAAACTCTTATGATAATTTCAGAAATGTACTCTATGTAATCTGGGTACAAGATGCTTCATGAGAAATGTCTTACCAAAGCTACCAGCACATATTTGGCTTTAGCTGTGAGATATGAAAAAAGAGTACCAACAACCCCCCCCCCACACACACATCAATTTGTGTTTAGGGTCATGCTTAAAGTATCCTTCTGGAACTTTCTCTCCTGTGAGTAGATGTGATTCCCCCATCCAAAAGGTCCAGGATCTGTTTGCAATGTATTGTTAAAGGCGCACATTTTATTTCTGCTCTAAAATTAGGTCATCTACAGCTATTGGTGAGCACATCCTACTTTTAGTAAACTGCACCGGAGACATATGGCTTAAATGGTTGCTCTTCCTTGCAAAAGGAAATTCTTTATTTTCCTGCCTTCCTTAATTTTTCTCTTTTAATTCAACTTAACCCATTCATTTTTAGCTTCAGGCGGTTACTCAAAGTACGCATGCGCACTCCTCGCACGTTGGTCCCACCCTCAGCCCTGGCCATTGGCTGGCTCCTGCCGGCGTGCTCTTGATTGGTTGCCGCTCGCCAAGCCCCCACTACCAGTCAGAGTTGGCGGGAAAGTGGCTGTTGGCGCAGCATGGCGGCGGCGGAGTCGCTGACCTCGGGTGGCCCCGGGGCCGTGCGGCTGCCGAGGTCGCCACCACTCAAGGTGCTGGCAGAGCAGCTGCGGCGCCACGCGGAGGGAGGCCCGGGCACGTGGCGGCTGTCGCGGGCGGCCGTGGGCCGAGCGCCGTTGGAGCTGGCGGCGGTGTGGATGCAGGGCACCGTGCTGGCGGCGGAAGGCGGCCAGGCGCGGCTACGCGACCCGAGCGGGGCCTTCTCGGTGCGCGGCCTGGAGCGCGTACCCAGAGGCCGGCCTTGCCTGCTCCCAGGTAACGAGGGCCAGATCGGCTCTGCAGGGGGCTGGCCCTCCGGGGGGCGGGGCGGTCCCACATCCAGGCATTTGTCCGCCTTTCTGTCCCAACCCCTGTCAGGTGACTCCCAGACCTATCGGATGATAGCAACACCCGCTGCCACCTTCAAAAATGTAGGTTCCAATCTGGCCTGGTGGTACAAACCTGTCATCCCAATACTAGGAGACTGAGGCAGGAGGATGGCAAAGTTTAAAGCCTGTCTACCTGTCTGAGAGTGAGTTTAAGGCCTGCCTATGCAACTTAGTGAGAGCCTGTCTCAGAGCAAAAAGTCATGAGGGCCTGGGTGGGACTCAGTGATAGAGCACTTCCTAGCATTGATGAGGCTTTGGGTTCAACCTAGACCGCAAAAATAGTAAACAAATAAATCAATGAAAACACCCCGAGGTTCCCGAGCTCTCCCGGTCCTCCAAGTTTTGAGCTTTTGACTTCTCTGTCACAAGCTCTCTCCCCATAGATGTCTTCATTTTCCCCATATGTTTTGAGAAATAATGTCTCAGGAAATGTGTTCGTGTCCTTTTCTGTTTATTTTGAGGCAGGGTCACATGTAGTCTAGACTGGCCTCAAATTCCTTGTGTAGCTGAGGGTGATCTTGAGCTCACTTCATCTCCTGAGTGCTAAGATTACAGGCGTATGCCACACGCCTGGTTCATGTGGTCCTGCGGGGTCAAACCCAGGGCTTTGTGATTATTAGACATGCAATCTCCCAACTGACATCCCAGTCCCGTGTACAATTTTAATGTCCCAAGACATTAAAAGCCACTCGTACCCAAAGGGGTTGGGGACACTTTTCTGTACCTTTCCTAATGAGATCAACATAGCTGTGCTTGACAGTTCATAAACAGCTGCTGCTCACACTGGAGGGGACATCATCACATTTGCCTAGGGCTTCGTTGAAGCTCATCAACTCAGGTTTTCGGAGTCTCAGGACTTATTTCTCATATGCTCCAAGGAGATGCTGATATTGCTGTGTTTGAAACTGCCCTCTGAGCTACTGCAGTGCTTGGACTTGGTCCTGATAGATTGACCCTAGCATCTGGTCCAGTGCCTGACCCCTAGGTGTCCTGAGAACCAGATAGTCTAAGGGACAGGCATTAGGTAGGGCACCTGGAGTCTCATCTCACTGACAAGGATGTCAAGTGAGCATATCATACATGGGACCAGGTTGCAGCTGTGACCCAGATACACAAGGCATGCCTCTTCTTGACTCTGGAGCTTCAACACCAGCTCAGGTTTCTGAAGGCCTGCCTTTCTGTGGTCCTTCTCTGTGAAATCAGGCCAGACTCTTTCTGCTCTGAAAGTGTGGGATTCTGTCTAGAGACAGACTGGCTCAGGGATGTTTGACCTTAGACTTACCTTTTCTGCTCTTTCTCTCCTCCAGTCCTACTCTAATTTAGGACTAGCAAACTCAAATGGACTGTAAACTAAAAGCAGTTTTTTTTTGTTTTTTTGAGACAGGGTTTTTCTGTATTGTCTTGGAAGCTGTTCTGGAACTCGCTTTGTAGACCAGGCTGGCCTCGAACTCACAGAGATCCACCTGCCTCTGCACCACCAACACCCGGCCAACTAAAAGCAGTTTTACACATGCACACACACACACACACACACACACACACACACACACAGTGCTGGGAATCACACTCAGTGCCTTACCACTGAGCTCTATCTCCAGACTCAACTTTTACATTTTAAAACTTTGTTTTGTTTCGTTTTGTTTGTGTTGGGTTTCTCTGTGTAGCCCTTGCTGTCTCCCTATGTAGATCAACCTGGTCTTAAACTCACAGAGATCTGCCTGCCTTTGCCTCCTGAGTGCTGGGATCAGAGGTGCATGCCACCATGTGTTAATCCCACTGATTGAAAATAAGACCACTACCACAATTCAAAGCCAAATTTAAAGCAAGCTTTAATTAAATACTGGCTAGGTGGATGGGCTGTGGCCAGTCCATCTCTAAGTTTCCAGAAGATGGCCCCAAATCATGGTTTATCACGTCTTAAATATTTCCCATCAGGTTCAGTCAGGGGCAAGCATGCATTCTGATATGCCCCAGCCTACATCCAATCAGGGGAAAGCGAACATCCTAATGTATTTCCTGTCTATGAACCTCCCGCCCACATGTGATCAAGCACATCTGGCGCAGATGGGTCAAACAAACTTGTTTAAGACAGTGAAAACATGTGACTTGTTATCTCCTATAAACAACAGCCTCCAGCATTTCAGGAACTATCTGATTTTGGGCAAGGGGCTTACAGATCAGAGGCATTTTTGTTTGATGGCTCTCCAAGGCATAGTAATTAAAACTTAAAATGTAGCTGGCTCTCTAAAACTATTTTATTATGTCTTAACTATTTTGAGTAAGGGTATATGTGTGCATGTGTGTGCCATAATACTTACGGGGAGATCAGAAGACAACTTGGCGTCTGGTTCTCGACTTTTATCATGTGGGTTCCAGGAATTGAACTCAGGTTGTCAGGCTTGGCAGCTGGTGCCTTTACCTGTTGAGCCATCTGGTTGTCCCAGGTTTCTCTTTTGTTTGTTTTGTTTTGAGACAGAGACTCACTAGGTAGCCTTGGGTGGCCTGGAGTGCACTATATATATCAGGCTAGCCTTGAACTCAGAGATCTGCCTGTGTCTCCCGAGTACTGGGATTAAAGGTGTGTGCCTGATACCTGACCTGTATTTTATATTTTGATGCATCTAAAAAAAATTACAATGATGGGCTGGAGAGATGACTCAGTGGTTAAGAACATGGACTGCTCTTCTAGAGGTCCTGAGTTCAATTCCCAGCAACTGCATGGTGGCTCACAACCATCTGTAATGAGGTCTGGTGTCCTCTTCTGGTATGCAAGTAAACAGCATGCAGGTAGAATACTGTATACATAATAAGTAATAAAATCTTTAAAAAATTGCAGTGTGTGAAAGGTATATGCAGTTCAGCATCTGCAAGTGAAGTTTTATTGAAGTGAAATATATTTGCAATTTACAAAAGGTTAGGGTCACTGTGTTACTGTAATGACATAATTCAGTAGTTGTGATAGAGGGCCTATGACCCACAAAAGCCTGATTTATGTAGTCTAGTCCTTTACAGAAAAAGTTGACTGCCCTTGGCCTTAGGTTTGGCGTTGCTCACATTCCATGGTGTTTGGTGTCCAGTCTAGGCAATGCCCCTTGAGGTCAGCCTTGAACAGTGTCTCAAGTCTGGTGCTAACAGTGGAGTGAGCCTGGCACCCAGCAGGCGTCCTTGTGTTGGCCTCACCCTCTAGCCTGTATCCCCATGGGCAGGGCCCATGCTCTTTCCTATTGCTCATTAATCATCTCACCAGGAACCAGGGAAGTAAACAGGCCACTAAAACACAGGTGCCATTGTAGATGAGCCCAGGGTGTGCGTACAGGGGTGACAGCTCTTCCTTCCATTTGAGTGGTGCCCATGGTACCTGCCTCAGTGTTTTAGCCACTGCTAGCCTCAGGAGACCTGGGCCTCCAGCTGCAGAGCACAGCGTGACTTTTGTCCATCTGGCATTTATTTGGGGTAAGTAGATATAGACATAGACACAGAAGAAGGATACATGTTTAAGGCTCAAGGGGGGATCAGGGAAGGCTTCCTGGAGGAGACAGCCCTGAAAGCTGTATTGTACTTATTTGTAGGGACTCTAACCTTTAGGGTTGTTGGGACATTCTTTGTGTGTGCACTAGCAGGCTGTCAACTCCTTTGAACAGCATGTGCAAAGGCCAGGGGGCAGGGAACAGGGCCCCAGGGGGCAGCAAAGGCCAGGGGGCAGGGAACAGGGGGGGGGCCAGCAAAGGCCAGGGGGCAGGGAACAGGGCCCTGGGGGGGCAGCAAAGGCCAGGGGGCAGGGAACAGGGCCCTGGAGGGGCAGCAAAGGCCAGGGGGCAGGGAACAGGGCCCCAGGGGGCAGCAAAGGCCAGGGGGCAGGGAACAGGGCCCCAGGGGGCAGCAAAGGTCAGGGGGCAGGGAACAGGGCCCCAGGGGGCAGCAAAAGCCAGGGGGCAGGGAACAGGGCCCCAGGGGGCAGCACTGAAAGGCTATAGTTTGGGAAGGACCGGTCCTTGCTAAATGACCTTGATCCCTGCTGGTTTGCTGCTTCCCGGCCCCTGCCTGCCTCTAGGGCATCCAGAAGTTTCTCTCCATACTCTGAAGACAGCAGAGTTGGGTACTCTGCCCTCTGGTCCTCATTCTGCAGGCAGTGTTGCTTACACTGTGCTGTGATGGGCAGGCTCTTGGGCAGGAGCATGGTTGGGAGGACACATCTTGGGCAGGGTCCTGTGGGGAAGGGGAAATGGGGGGTTAGGGTGCATGGGCTCAGCACTGGTCCCCGACTGTTGTGTAGTGTCTTCTGCTCCCAAGCTCCACAGAACAGGTCTGTCATCCTCTCTTGGTCTTCAGCCTCGTAATTCGAAGGGTTTTGTCTTTACCACTAGTTGGGACAGCCAGTTGGAACAGAGGACAGCCAGTATGGGACCTGGGGTTAGATCCAAGGATCCTCCTATGGACCCTTCAGGGAAAACATGAGAGGGATGGGCAGCCCAGTGCTTGACTTCTTTTCATTCGAGGTCCTGGGCTTGTGTGCAAACTCATCCTGCTGGTGGAAGCCGGCCATGCAGGGGACTGGCTGCATGCCTTTCCTGCTGTGACAAGGGACTTTTTACACAATTGCATTTTGTGTGGTTTGTGACTAGCCAAGTTGCGCTTTCAAGGAGAGGCACTTCCCCCAGGGAATGGGAAGTTGTGGTTAATAATATGTCAGCTCACCCAGTGGCAGCCTGTTCTGTTGATTTCCCTGTGTGTGCCCAGTGTGGCTTGGGATAAAGTTGGGGGTGGCAGGGACGGGAACAAACAGCACAGTGTGCTGTGGGTGGTGAGAGGAGGGGTGTGCTGATGTCTGTCTTAACTTTTTTGGCAGTGTGTGGGGAAAATTGGATTTACATTTCGGCTGTCAGGAAGTGGCTTTGCGGGAGTGCCTGTCTTGTGAACAGAGACCAGTCACTCGCTCTGTCATTGAACAGTGAACCAGACTGAGAGCAAAGCTTGGGTTTTCTGCCCCTGCCTGGGGCGGTGTGTCTAATTATAACTCAGTGGGAACCAGCGTTGCTTGCATTCCAGGGGCATGACTGCTGAGTGAGCCTGCCTATTGTGTTTAGCATATGAAAAACAGATGCCAATAAGATGCAGATGTTGTCCTCCAGGTTAAGCACTGATCTCATTGTTCATACTTGTATCTGTTTTGATCCCTGGCTGCCTTTGTTTTGGTATCTGCTGTCAGGATTGTGTGGCTGTGTGCATGTTCTCCTGTGGGGATGTGCTCACACATGCCTGTGTATGTGGAGGCCAGAGGTACATCAAGTGTCTTCCTCGATTGCTCTCACCTTTTGTTGTTGTTGTTTTGAGACAGGGTTTCTCTGTATTGTTTTGGAGGTTGTCCTGGAACTCGCTCTGTAGACCAGGCTGTCCTTGAACTCACAGAGACCCGCCTACCTCTGCCTCCCGAGTGCTGGGATTAAAGGTGTGCGCCACCAATGCCCGGCACTTTCACCTTATTTTTTGAGACAGGGTCTCTCGCTGAACCAGGAGGTCTCCAACTGGGCTAGGATGGTTAGGCATAGAGCCCCAAGGATCCTCCTGTCTGCATTTCCTTGACACTGGTCACATATGCATACACCCTGCCATGCTTTTTGCATGGGTGCTGGGGATCTGAACTGAGGTCCTCCTCTCAGCTCCTCTCCGTTTTATTTTGCAGGGCTAAAGATCAAACCTAGGACCTAGTGCTTGCTAGGCATGAGCTTTGCCTCTGAGCGGCAGTCCCCATCTTCCTTCTCTGCTCAAGGCCTTGAAGTCAGGGTCTTTGTAGGTTGTCCCCACCTTCCTTATTAGTATGAACATCACCACATCCTTTTCTTCTCTTCCCAGGAAAGTATGTGATGGTGATGGGCGTGGTTCAGGCCTGTAGTCCTGAGCCCTGCTTACAGGCTGTGAAGATGACGGATCTTTCTGACAATCCCGTCCACGAAAGCATGTGGGAATTGGAGGTGGAAGACTTACACAGGAGCATCCCTTAGAGCTGGGACCCTCTAAGAACAGCTTTCCCCGTGAAGTCCTTTACCACCATGTGGGTCTCCGAGACATCACAAGGGTTTCATGAAGAGATTTGCTTTGGTGGAGCCAGACGTCTGCACTCTGGGAGCTGGAACTTATATTAACTCTGCCTCCTCACTGCCCAGGGCTTTGGCTGCTTGGGGATGAGAAGCAGATGCTCCAGGCTCTTCCCTTTCTGTCATTTATGTGTATTAATTTTTCTCACGTTGCCATCCCTGATGTGTCGAGTGATAACACTTTATCCTCTATTGTACCCCATTTTAAGATGCAAAATCTGAATTTCGGTTATTGCCAGTGGGATTAAAGTTATGGACATGAGGACAGAATGGCATTGTGGCCTGTCTTCCCATCTCTAGCTGCCGGGTGCCAGCAAGCAGCCCCGTGCAGACAGGGCTCTCCCTGCTTCAGTATGCTCATTCTCCATTGTCTGTGTCCTTAGATTCAGAAGGCGAGACCAGTCGAGAATAGTCAGAATAGTCGCAGAATTCTTTTGAAATTAAAAATCCAAGATGGAAACAGACTTTTCAAGTACTTCTGCTTCAAAACTTTCATGGAGAGACAGCCAGGGACCAAATAGCCTGCTAGCTTAGAGTCCTGACCTTTCTGCATGAAATGTCTTTCTGTTGGGGTTATATCAGTGTTGGGCTTTGGCTTTCTGCTGATCACCAGGCTAGATTTATGTTTGGATGGTAAAAACCAAGGCCGTCCATTATTGTGTTTCTGTACCACTGCAGCACTTTGCCCAGATGACTGATATTCTACACTAGTAACACTTTTGTATGGCTAATTTTTAAAAATAAGCTTAATTATTTGTGTGTTTATTTCAAAGACAGGGTCTCATGTAGCCCAGGGTAGCCTCGAACCTCTGACCCTCCCACCTCCACTTCTGAATGCTGAGATGATAGGTGTGCACTGCTACCCTTGCCATCTGCAGTGCTGGGGATTGAACTGGGCTTTGTGCATGCCATGCACTCTGCTGACTGACCTGCATCTCCAGTCTGACATGTGATTTGTTAAAACAGTTCTGGGTTTTCAGAAAAACTGAACAGAAAGTGTAGTGTTCCCATAAACGCCATTGAACCTAAGGCTTTGTGTGTTTAGGCAAACACTGTCACTGATTTTTTCTTTAATTTATTTATTGTGTATACAGTATTCTCTCTGCATGTATGCCTGCAAGCCAGGAGAGGGCACCAGATCTCATTACAGATGGTTGTGAGCCACCATGTGGGTGCTGGGAACTGAACTCAGGACCTCTGGAAGAGCAGCCAGCGCTCTTAACCTCTGAGCCATCTCTCCAGCCCCCCACTGTCACTGATTTTAAGATAAGTGTTTTAAAATAAGGCTAGCCAGATGTGGCACCCCACACCCTGACTAACCTGTATTGCCATGAACATCATCAGGTGCTGCTTCCCACCAGATAAACTCAGGAGCTACTTGGCAGGAGAGGGACAGGGACGGGGAGGAGAGGGGACCCAGAAGTGATCTTGACCTGCCCCTTTCCTGTTCCTTCCCTCCTCCCTCATAGAAAAAGTGACCAGGCCTTGAGCCCATCAGGAAGAGGCAAAGTGAGACCGTAGGAAGACCAGTGGCAGTCAGCAATTGGGGGAAGGGATGCATGGGTGGTGCACAGGACTTTTAGGGCAGTGACTAACCTGGAGCTCCCTCTGTAGACCAGGCTGGCCTTGAACTCACAGAGATCTGCCTGCCTTTGTCTCCCCAGTGCTAGGATTAAAGGCGTGCGCCACCAATGCTCCACTTCTTTTTATTTTATTTTATTGTTATTTTGTGTGTGTGTGTGTGTGTGTGTGTGTGTGTGTGTGTGTGTGTGTGTGTGTGTGTGAGTCTAGAAAAGATCATTGTACTCTGGAACTGGAGTTATGGGCAGGTCTGAGCAGCTAATGTGGGTGCTGGGAACCTAACTCAGTTCTTCTGGAAGAGTACCAAGTGCTCTTAACTGCTAAGCTGTCTCTCCAGCTCCAGTGTACATCTTTTGAGCTACAGAAAAATTGCAGAAATAGTACAGTCCTTATTATTTTTATTTATTTGTTTGCCTATTTATTTTTATGTGAGGTAGGATGTCTGTAGCCCAGTCTGTCCTGGAACTCCTGATCCTCCTGCTTCAGCTTCCTGAGTATTGAGATTACAGGTGTGCACCACTAAGCTTGGTTTATGTAGTATCGGGGATCAAAAAGGACTTCTTGAATCATAGACACACCAAGTTCCTATCATGAATGTCTTACATTAGTATGGCATAGGTGTTAAAACTAATTAACAAATTAATTAATGAGCAAATACTGAGAAGTTAGTAACCAAATCTATAGTTTTTTTTGGTTTTGAGCCTAGCCTTTAATATCTGAGCCATCTCTCCAGCCCTATTTTGGTTTTATTTCTTCTTTTTTCCCCCAGGATTCCACATTCTTTTTAGTCATCATGTCTCCTTAGGATCTCCCTTGTCTGAGACCCTTGATCAGTTGCTTCTGATCACATTGGAATTTAATAAACATGCACACATACATAGACAACACATACACCAACCCAGACACGTAAGCACACAGACTATACACACACTGACACAGACAACACAGACTACACACACACACACACCACGTGCACACACACTGACACAGACAATGCATACACACAGACAACACAGACACACACACTTTTTACAGCACAGGGCTTCTTGCATGCTGGCAGACTCTAGTGCTGAGCTATAGCCCCAGCCCGAAATTAGCTTTGAGACAGAGTCTCATGTACCAGGCTGGCTTCAAACTCTGCAGCTGAGCATGGTCTTGAAGCCCTGATCTCCTGCAGGCACTTGTGGTGCTGTGATTGCAGGCGTGCCCACTCCAGGCCTGCATGCCAGGCAAACACTCTACCACTTGAACTCCAGTCTGAAATTTAATTTTGATGCAGGCTACAGGATCTTTGGTATAGGATTCTTAGTAAAATGGTGTTCCCAAACGGTCAAACTCCAGAGCAGCTGTTGAGCCCTGTGTGGTACAAGCCTAGTCTGCTTCTCCATTGGAGGACTGGATGCTGCTGACAGCTTCCTAGCCGGTGTCCTCACCTAACTCCTGGTGAATAACACCAAATAACACCCGATGGAAAAGTGTGGGCTGCCTGGAGGTCGCCGGCTGTGGGGGGAGGAGCGCTGCAGACAGCAGTGGCCAGTGGCTGGAGGCTGCCTCCCCAGCACAGAGCTGAGCCTGTGGTTTTCTCTGCACATTCAGAACTCTCACTGTTGGGCTGCCGTTTCCTCCCTGACAGCGCCAAATGAAAATGCATCCGGAGGCTTCAGCTCTCGGGCTGCCAAATCAAAGTCAGTTTATCAGCGAGCACCCGCCAGACTGCGGCTCTGGTGGCAGCCTGTGTGCCGGCCCAGCGCAGCTTCCCTTTTGAAATGCTCTCTTCTAAGAACTGAGAGTAAGCAACCCTGGCTGTGACTTCACTTTTCTCGGAACTGCTTTACATTATATATATTTTAAAAATGTGAAACCATCACTTAGCTGGTTTTGGATTGCCTGAGTTCCCTAATTCTTTCTGTTGCATGTTCTTGTAAAGCTGAAGTGTTACCGCAAAGTTCTGCAGGAGGGGGAAGGAATGGCCATGTGAAGTAGGGGTGTGTTTGTGTTTTAGCTGGCTTGTGTACGATTTAATGATTAAGGAGAAAAAGAAACTAGAAGAGATGCAGTGAAAAGGCAAGGATCAGCTGTGGCTGGCTGGCTGGAGTTGATGTTGGGACTTGGTCCGCACTTCCTGATCAGCTAGCTGCCTCTTGTAAAGATAAGAGGGAACCTGGGTGTAGCGGCACACACCTGTGACTCTGATATTCTGGAGGGGAAGGCCACTGTGGGCTATAACGCAAGTTCCAGGCCCTTTGGTGGAGCCTAGAGCTGTAGATCAGGGGTGGAGTGCTCGCTTGGCATGAATGAAGCCTTGGTTTTGATTCCCAGCACTCCAGAAAGTTAGGCATTGTAGTGCTTGTGTATAATCCCAGAACTAAAGAGGTAGAGGATCAGAAGTTCAAGGTCACCATGAGCTACATAGCAAATTCAAGGCCAGCCTGGGCTATGTGAGAAACAAAACAAACAGGATGGGAGAGAAAGACTAGATGCATATTTAGCCACATTTAGCCACAGTGATTATATCAAGTGTATAAGGACATCATCCTGGGGTTCCTATCTTCTTGGGATTAGGGGACTAAAATACTGTCATACTTCAGGGGCTGGTCCTGGTCCTACTGTTTCTTGCCTGACCTTGGGTTTGAAGGCCAGCTTTTGAGGTGGAAGCAACTCTTCTTTCAATGGGGGCTCTGGTAGGTTTTTGGGAACTGGAATTAGCCATCCCCTCCTTCTGAGTGCTGAGGTCTTGAAGTTGTTTTAAACTCCTAGCTTTGTATCTTTGTCCCCCAGGGACTCACATAACACACATAGGTACTCAGTAAGTGCTGACTGAGTTTCAGGTTAAAGACCAAAGACACACACAAGCAAAGGCACAGTGCTTGTGAACCTTGGCATTTGAGGGTTGTAAAAAAACATTTATTTTGATTACTTATTTATTTTGTTTGTATGTGTGTAGGTGCACATTGCTGTGGAGGCCAGAGGATAAATTGTGGGGGGTTGATTTTAGATTCCTACCAAGTGAGATATGGTTCAAACTCGGGTCATTGTGCTTGAAGCACCTGTACCCTCAGAGCCCTCTTGCTGTCCTGAGTTTGAGTTTTTTGTTTGTTTATAATTTTTAAGATTTATTTGTGTGTGTGTGTGCCCACATGTATCCATGATACTGTATGTGGAGGGAGGGGCCCTCTTTTAGGAGTCCACTCTCCCCACTGTGGGTCCTAAGGATTGAGCTGGGCTCATTGGACCTCTGCAGCAAAACCACTGAGCCATCTCACCCGCCCTTGTTCATTTCTGGTCTCTCATACCTCATGGATGAGCTTGGTGAGCCCCCTGCCTTCTCCTCCTGAACCCTGGGATGGAGGCTGGGCTACCGTGTCTGGCTCATACAGTGCAAGACCTTAACCCAGAGCTTATACATGGTGGACAGACGCTCTACCGACTGAGCCGTGTCTCCAGCTCTGCTTTTGTTTTCCCCTGTGTTTCTCTCATTTTAGACACTATATAGGCCAAGCTAGCCCTGAACTTTTGGAGGTTCTCCTGCCTCAACTCCAGAGCTTCTGGGATCATAGGTTTGTAGTGCCGTGCTGGCTTTTGGAGCCTCTTGAAGCAAGCACCTGGCAGTTGCCTGAGGTGTTGGCTGGAAGGCAGGAATGTGCTCTGCAGATAGGAAAGATCTGGAAGTATAAAAGGGTT